ATGTTACTCACAAACATATGTGTGATTTATATATTGGTAACAGCAGCCACTCTGCACTTTTTTTGAAAAGTGGTCTCTAACGGTGCTGTCTCAATATGCAGTGATTGCACACATACACCTTATTGAAAACATCCCAAACACACATCTGGTAAAACTATTGTGGAGCATATGTCGATAAAATCTGAAAACTAAAGTAAGTGTATTCACTATTTCGGCAATAATGTCTATGAAGTAGGATTGTGAGGCTGTCATGCATGCGTTTTTCTTATCATAACATTATCCAAACTTTCCAAATAATCTGATAATTTAAATGTGTTAATTTGATGGGGAAAAACTATAAAAAAAACAAGTAAAATCTGGTTAACTGAGATTTCACTCAACAAATGTAATTTCTTCCGAAAAGTAACACGTTTTATTACACTCCCTGATCTTATAGTCGTGAATGAATTCAATTAATTAACGGTAAGGTGATTAGATTGGAAATTCCTTTTTTTTGCTGTTTTTAACTAATGATTTTTTATGGGTAGCGCACACATAGCTTGGTTTTACTCAGGTGCCCGTTCGTGCCTGAAATAATGCACGGAAAGGCACCTAAGGTCTTTCTCCACCAGTAAAGCTGGAACGTCGCCAAATGACCTATACTGTGTCGGTGTGACGTAAAACCCAAAACAATCAAACAAAACAAACACACACAGCTCTAATTACAGTCTTCATTTGCATGTTAAAATTCGTATATGAACTTTACTGTTACCTTCGGGTTTAGTTTTAAAATCATTATTTCTGAACAAAATTTTATAAGATTTTTAACTTTATTGTTGAAGGTTAATAAAATTGTAGACTGCTAGGTTTATAGTACGACGGCAAAATATTTCTACAAATATAAAATTCAGCTTTAAATGAATATATTTAAAGAACCTGTATGTTATAATTAAGGATTTAACAATACTTAAGTGAAATTTTATATATGTTTAAAATTATTCTTCTAAATCAATATCGAAACATCCGAGAATATGTTTAATATGTAATGCAAATTTTCTTACGCATTATAAATAATCATTAAAATATATTCATTCATTTTTATTGAAACATTTTGCTTCGACTATATCCCCTATTAACCCCTCCCCCCTCACCCCTTATTTTCATGAAATGTAAATTCGGTAATATCTTCATGTTTTTTTTTGGAACTAAAAATGTCGATAAAACTTTATTTGAACATCATATTTATGATATAACACTGAATTTCAGGATTTTTAAACAAAGATGCGATTGAAGAAATGAATTACCGGATAGGAACAAACTGATCAGATACCTGTATTATAACCAAATCTACTTAGAAACAAATATCGAAACAATGAATGATTTAGTTTGTTGAATATCATTTACCCAACACAATTTTATTGATATTTTTAATATAGCTGTTTGTTACTGTAAGTATTTATTACCATGCTGAATATACAATACAGATGAAATCGTTTATCAGATAAGAGCACATGTGGACATGTGGGAAAGGTAATCTCTGAAATATGGTAGCAATGATTTCATGATCAATCACAGTGAAAAGTACCTTCACCAGCCGGGATTTGAACCCCGAGTATCCACATTTACTGCGAGTCGAACGGGACGGGTACTCCCAATTTCAAGCATGCGTATGTCTTTTGTATTGATTTGGACTGCTTCACCCTCTATTGTCTTCATTATCTTGCAGACGTTTAAATATGTAAGACTAATAATTATTGAATCAATCGTTGCTTGCATTTTCAATATGCGTAACGAATCAACGAAATTACATGACCAGGGACACCGCAAACCAAAAAAAAAAAAATATATATTTAGTACTTTTCCTACATTAATTATTCAATTGATAATTCAAAGGTAATCAAATCAAGAAACATCATAAAACAAGTTTGATACCAACTTACAGATAAAGTTTATAGTAATTATCATCGGGGAATATGTGTTTTGATTTAATGCAAATAATGAGTGTTTTTAGGGGCGGTTACTTTTCAATTTTTGCTTCAACTAGAACCTTTCCTTCTCAAATTGAGGTTTTATCTATTAAATAGTATCCTTACAAATGAAAATTTCGCGCTGGATTGATTCCGATGGGCCACTTAATTCTTACATTCTTGCCAATCCTGGTAAATATAGTACCATCAGGATAAAATTGAACATTAAAATATTCCACAGACAACTTGGATTATATTAAACAACTGTATTCGTTATATTCAGTTAATGAAATGTGTTGCCATTTAATTTGATCTGGACAAAAGTACGTACAACTTTAATGTCAAAATTTCTGTTTACTGCACCCTGAATCTCTGAATAATATAAAGCTAGAAAAATACACTATGCAATCATTTTGGCCATATTTTGGTTACATCTTTAATCATGTTGTCCTAAATTTAGATTAATTATAGCCAGTATCTACTTGACGAAGCTTATTGACTTGTTTAAATGTGGTCATTACGACAATACATTACCATATTTTCCTTTAAAATTCAGGATGATATTATATCATGTTTGGGATTGAATGACAGGTTGTAATAAAATTTAATTTTATAACCTACGAGCAGTTACCTCCTCAATTATTGTATCACCGAACAACCCGCATTTAAATCAATGTTCAAGTATCATTTATTGCACATGACTGATTTTACTGAATATCTTACGAATTTCAATTATGCTATCTATAATTATATCTTTCACATTTAATGTAGACGATCTTTTCATTGGCCATTTGAATATACCGTGAACATATATGACACTGTTTGATAGCAGAAATTATTATTAAGTGGTATGTTTACATCGCTGAGCCTTTTTAATCTCTGTTCTTAATCATAAGCTTTGTTGTGACAGATGAAATTTAATTGGCATAGTTTTAAAATCAATTGCAATTTAAAGAAAGTTGTATCAAATTTCGTTCTTGTAAAACAAAATTGAATTGAGAGCTGTGATTACAAATAATTTAATTCAGTATATCGCAGCGATTTTATTTTCATTTACCAAGTAAGCTAAAGTGCAGGTGTGTATTAAATCCGTTTTAGATATAAACACCAGGCCCCGGTTTCACAAAGATACTTAAGTCTGTTGTATTGACTTAAACTCAATTACGTACTCATTTTACAACTTAAGTTGAGTAACAATTTGAGTTGTGTTTCACGAAACTTTAATCAACTCATCAAAATGCTCAAGGCTTGAGTTGAGTCTGATAATTTGAGACAGCTAAGAAGCTACCTTAAGTTACTACTCAAATATGGCAGACTTTATCAGACGCATCGAGCGTATTCGCAGACGCCGTCGTTTAAATACTGCTGTCGAGAGATTTATACCTGACAGAATTAATCCATTGGAATTTCTGTCACGTACAGAAGTGAGGGAACGATATCGATTCGAACCAGAGTCCATACTCTTCATGCTACAGCTCATTTCCAATTCTATAGAGTTTGACACATTCAGATCGTCACCCCTCCCACCCATTATTTCTCTTCTTGTGACGCTGATTTTTTTCGCTAGCGGGGCGCATTATTTAATTATTGGAGACAGGCATGGCGTTTCTAAGTCCTCGGTATCAAGGGCCATCAAGAGAACCTCAACAGCCATATGTTCTCTAAGGGAGAGATACATCCATTTCCCTTCTAACCACGACATTCCAGCTGTACAACGGGAGTTCTACAACATTGCAAGTAAGTAATGCTTCCAGCCACACGATTGGTTGATTGCGTCTCCAATGTAAACAATGCGAAAATGAAAATCCGGGCTCCGAAATTCCGGACTACTGGTTCGGATAAAACCATTTTTTGTCCTAATAAATGATTATAATAGATTCTAGTAATAAATAATTGGTTATATCTAGTTACTCATCAGTAACCCAATTTATATATTTAAATCATACTGTACATCTCATATTTACATGTACTTGTGTGTATTTTGATAATTGTAAAATAAAATACTGATTTAATAAATTTAAGGAAAATTAAATATTAGAAAAACTATGGGCCTACCTAGTAAGTTAATGATTCAGAATGCTCACCAATCCACCTTTGTATATATGTATACTGGTCTGTCCTATTATCTTAATAATCATAGTTATTTTTTGAATGATGCATAGTACCATATAATATGTAATAAATTTATATACATGTACAGTACATACATGTCTATGTACTTATCATATAGTGAAGAATATGCAGCTATGAGTAGACCATATTTGTTCCATAAATTACAGCAAAAAGCTGTGGTACTCAAAAGCAAAAATAACATGGTATAAGAAATCAATTCAGTACAAGTCCATTTAATTAGATTTCATCCCATGTGAAATGCATGTACTAAAGGAAAAAAAGCCCATTCTAGTGTGGCAACATTTAAAACCCATATTTGACCAATTAAACGGTTCAATGAATGGGTCCAATATACATGCATGCCTATGGGCTGAATCTGGAAAAGTGCATATACAGGTCCTATACATGTTTTCCATAATCAAAGAAGGTATTTAAATTTATTAAATTTTTTGTTTGAAATAAAAAAGAATGTAATTTAACACAATAAATAAAATTTATAATGAAATAAACCAACACCACATATATATGCCATGGGATAAATGGTTTAGTCAGTTGAATAAAACATTGCAAAGGCAGAATAAATTATGTAAAAGCATCAACAGAATGAATGTGATTGAAAAACTTAAAGTAAAATTATGATGAAATTTTGTATTTATGTCCAGACAGGTCCTTAAAAAGGAATATTAAGACAATTTCAAGACAATCATGAGCTTGAACCTTTGTTTCTTGCTTTTGTTAACCCATAAGTGCTTTATATTTGTATCAATACTTCATAGTGGAACAAACTAATTGATATATTCATGTTTTTTAAAATGGATTGCCCATATGGAACCTGGTAGTACTTTCCATATTGGCTCCATGTGTGCAACTGAACATAAGTCTTATGTATCATCTCAACAGCTGTTGATAAATGTATGTCCAGGTTACATGTATCTATTTCAGATGGTGTGTGATGCAAGATTCAGAGTAACTAATGTTGTGGCAAAGTGGCCAGGGAGTGTGCACGACAGCCGAATTTTCAGGGAATCAGAATTGTGTAGAAAGTTTGAGAATGGTAAAGTGTTTATTTGTTTTCTTAAATAACAATGTTAATTCACTAGCTTTCTATTTTTAAGCATGTCAGCCTTAATAAGTGGTTGTTATGAAATTATTACAAAATTGCTTGATGAATGTAACATACATGACATATATGAAACGAAATAAATGATAAAATAACGACTTCTTATAATTTAAGGAGAAATAGATGGACTTCTGCTTGGAGACTCTGGGTACCCATGCAAAAAGTACTTGATGACACCATATATGAATCCCCAAACTGCTGCTCAAGAAAGGTATTGTTAAATCAACTATAATCTTGACATTACAATGCATGATAATATACAATCATATCATTATGATACACGTTCCTTAAAAAACCTTTATATCAAATGCATGTACTTCAAAGTTAATTCTTTCATTGATGTTTTAAATACCCTAATCAGTTTAAACAAAGTAGAGAAGAAATAATATTTGAGACATTATATTGACTTATTGTTTAAAAGGATTATTAATTTGGTTTGTCTGTTGTCAATTACATAGATTCAATTCATCATTAACAAAAACGAGGGTTACAGTAGAGCAGACATTTGGAGTCATGAAGAGGCGTTTCCCTTGTTTGAGTTACGGACTGAGGGTGAAAACCTGCCACACACCACAGGTTATCGTTTCCTGTGTCATTTTACATAATTTTGGGATGGAGAGTGGCGACACATTTGAAAGACTAGTTAGTTTGACTTTTGAGTCTCCAGATAATGTTGATTTACAAAATGACCAAGCTGGAGCCAGGTATAGGGATGTATTTGCATCTACATACTTTGCCTGAACTTTGACATTATATTTGCTCTCCTTTTATAGCTAACGTGCCTCCAGATATTTTCTAAATAAGTACATGTATGTAACACTTGTGATAAAAACATTGACAAGTATGATTTTGGGGCAACGCTAATCAATAAATCTCTTAAATGTACTGAAAATCCCTTAAGAACATGTACCATAAAATATTAATGAAGACCACACCTGTCAAGTTTGGTATAAATCTGTCTTGTTGTTGAAGACAAGATGTTGTTTAATGTTACTGCTGTAAATGACAGACAACATACACATAAGCACAAAATATAGAGGATATTTGTTTGTTTGTGTGTAAGATGAAATTTTATTTCATCGAGTGGGCTTTAAAAACAGTATTCTCACGAGTGGCGAAGCCACGAGTGAGAATACTGTTTTTAAAGTTCACGAGATGAAATAAAATTACATCTTACACAACAAACAGACAAATTTTCTTTTTATTTTATGCTTAAAAACAAGTTAAAACGAAATTTCCATAATTTTAACGTTAATATTAAAACTGTTTCCCCCATTGAGAGCCCCATTTATTCGGAATTTCTCATTAAAAAAAAGAAGTCTTGAGCTGAAAAATAAGTCCGCCAATCAACATTAAATGACGGTGATATTTATTAATTTTATTAAAAAGATATGAATGATCGCTTGTTTTGATAATAAAAACAAACAATTCTTGTAGGAGAAAAAGTCCAACCATCCATCCATATTTCTGTTACTTAGTGCGAATTTATATTAGACCTGGCTTTGTAAATTGTAAGCGGCAGCCATTTTTTAAAGTTGTGTATTTCATGGGAGGAAAAATAATTGTGTAAGATTCAGAGGGATATAATTTGGATTTGTTAGTCATACACATTTTTAAAAGAAAGAAAACTTATTTGAGGATTGTAACAGACAAAAAATAAGTGTTGACAGATGTGAAAACATTCAGAAAAGGAGCTAGGAAAATGGAAAACTTGGAAACCTGCTCAAGAACGCTGGGTTGATTTAACTTATTCTTCGAGTTATGGCTGTCAATGCTTTCAATTTTTCATAAAGCATACGGCAGTTATTGCTCGTAGGATACTTTAATATGCCCAAATGTCATCAAGAGCAGTTTTTGCATGGGGAAGGAATGTATTTTTGAGACTGTCAAAATGAAACAAAAAAACGAAATTTGGTGATTGGAATTTCATGAATTTGAATGAATAGAAGTAAGTTTTCTTCTTTTTATTACTTTTGACATTTAAGTTATTAATCAATTTCAGTTTTGCTTTTTCTTTAAACAGCCTGACATTGTCAGAATTGTCAGCAAAAATAAAATTGAGGTACCACATGGGGAAAATCTTAAAAAAGTAGTTTCGTCATTAAAAAGAGTGAAATTATATTTTGATAATTTTCACTGTGAAATTACCAAATATAATTTTCACGGATAAATCAGTAATCCACTGAAAAGCATAAAATAAACATGTATATTATCACTTTAGAAAATAATCAAGTTACCTGTTATATCTTCCAAGTTAAAAGCTGTTAAATTGAATTAGTATTTAAATATGATAATGAGGAGAGTAAAATCTTTTCAGTATCAATTTAATTGGTACATATGAAAATTTCTGTTTCATTTTGCTTAATAATTCTCTCAGTAGCTGTAATAATCTGGATGCATGTTTCATAAAAGGAAAGCAAATGCTGTACCTACATATATCATTTGATATTATTCTATTTTATAAAACAGCAGTCATGGAAAATAAAAGGAACATAGCTTGAACATTAATATTCCATTTAATCTTTAATTTTTGGTAAAACAAGTTAAATAATAAAGCAACAAAGTTTATCACAGATTTTGAATCATCACAGCCAATACAAATCCTCTACTGATCTATAAGATGATGTAACATACATGTATCAATGAGATATAATTGATTGTCTAAGAGTTACAGTCAAGATAAAGCGTCATCAAATTGTATATATAAGAGGCAACATTATGCTCATCAATTTTTCTTACATATTCAGTCTGATATGCATAAAAAATCATCAATTCAAATTCATAATATTTTAACATCTTACAAAAGGAGTCAGGGCTGATTTTTGTTAACAAATAACAATTAAAATATATTAAGTATATTGACATCTTAAGACTGCTTGAAGCATTTTGTACAAATAGAATTCAAATCGAAGAAAAAGAAACTTTTGCCTGTGTCTCCCTTTAAAAGACATTATCACATAAACCGCGGCACAGGAGTGTAATAAAGCCATTTAATAAAATATATTACACTTGTGTAATAACACTTTGACATGACGTAGTTAGCGCTATATATAAACATAGCGTTGAAGTGTGCTAATGTTAGCATTTCATTATAGGCACGTCATTGAAAAATAACTCATTTTTAATAGTTTACTGTTCTTATTTCATATATGTGATAAATAGAATATTATATTTGTGTGGATTTTATACTAAATCTATTGAACTCGTTGAATAAAACAATATTATGCTTGCCAGAGGCTCGCATAATATGATTTTATTCAACTGTTCAATAAATTTAGTATTAAACTACACTCATTCCATAACCCCTATTTATGTATACCAAGATAAATTCAAAGGTAAAAATAGTTGATCACAGTCTCCATAATGAACTGATCATTGAAATTAAGAAACAACCATCTGGTGAGGAAAACGCTAAAGTTTTTAACTTTTTCTAAGAGCAAACAAATAAACAGTTCAAACAAATCTTTTAAAGGAAACTTTAAAATAGGCCTGTCTAGTCACACTTGTTGCTTTGTCCAATATGAATCCTTTCCATAAATAAATGCAATAGTTAATAAAATGTAATCAAAATTCAAAGATTTGACAGTCAAGGTGATTAAAAGGTTAAGGTTATATTTACATGATTTAAATTATTCCAAATGTCTGTTTGGTCACAAGTGTTGTTTTCAACATATGAATCAACTCTGTACATAAATAACAAAATTATGACAACTTAACCAAAGTTCAATAATTTGACCTTGATGGTCAAAGTCATTTAAAAATTAAGGTCAAGGTCAGTTCAAATTTTTAAAGAATGACTTGTCAAAAAGGTTGTTTTGGCCAAGTATGAAAATAATCAATTGATTAATTACAAAGTTACAGCCCATTATAGCAATATTCAGTGAAAATAAAATAATTTGACTGTCAATGTCATACATGAGTCAAGTTCAATTTGAGTTTGATAAACATAGCGGTCCTTACCTAAAAGATAACATGTCTTTATATGAATTTAATCCATTTTTAAATAACATTTTTAAACAACAAAGTTATTAGTGCCATTTACAGAAAAAAAACAAGACAATTTCATTAATTTGACCTTAAGAGTAAAGGTCAATAAAAGGTCAAGGTCAAGTCTAAATTATTTTGGTAGCAAGACTTGTTTTGTTCAAGTTTAAATCAAATCTGTACATAAATAACAAAATTATATAATTAAACCAAGTGTGCGACTTTATGCGGCAAAATCAGTAAAAATACTTAAAAGTATGAAATAAAAAGAAAATTAATTTGTTTTACATATAAGATTGAAATATATTTCACTCGTGAACACCGGCTATTCTATTTTCACTTGTGGCTACGCCACTCATGAAAATATGACATCTATAGTCTGTCCCATCAAATTTGAATATTCCATTTTTTATTTAATATACTAGTAAGATCATTTAAATTAATGTCATGATAACCCTGACGTCAATATCTCTAGGCATGTTTTTCATTTTTTCCATAAAGTCAGAAATATGGTCAAAATGTTAAAATTATATTTTTTCCCGTTGACTTACGTTGTAACCTGACGTGACGTCCATTTCAAAATGGCGGCGCCCATACAGACGTCATTTAGGGTTCGTCTCACAATTAGCGAGAACTGTACTAGGTTATTATAAAAAAAATTGATTATTCTTATTTACTTACTGATCAATAGCTAAATGTTATCATTGAAATGAAAAATGAGAACAAAGTTGGTGTCAAAAAGACAATTCTAATAACAAACCATTATTTAAAATAATCAATTTAAAATCCTTTGAAGTGAAATATCAGTAACCGCTTTTTAAATTATAACACACAAAGATTTATATAATTATATAATTACCATGATATTCTGTCGTATTTTATATCACTTATGCCTAGGTCACAAATAAAACGGGCGCCGTCCGATTAAACGATTTTTATAAAATCGGCAGATTTTTTGATGTCGTGGACGCCGGGCGATTTTAAATCTGATACCTTGCGTGGTCATGAATGAAACAGTCGTCGGGCGATTTTTTGCCGAATGGATTTTACAGAAAGAATTGAACGGATCGGGCGGTCGCCGCCCGATGTCCGTACGGCGCCTGTGCGATTTAAAAGTGAATCTGACGGTTGCCGCGCGGGCGCCGGGCGACAATGGCTTTACATTTAATGACATCCTTTATAAATCAGCCAGTTGTAATTATGCTAGCAAAGAAGTCAGCTGCCAAAGCCAAGGGGAAGGCCAAGGAGATGGTCCATGTTGTTGGCACCGAGTCACCAACGGCGTAGAAGGCGAAAATCAATCAGAAACTCGCATGGACATTGAGGAAAAAATTCATGTTTACTGGTATTCAAAAGAAATTCACAAATATATTTTTGAGACAATTACAACATCTTCAAGCTGAAATTACAACAAACACAAGCAGCCCGTTCGCCGGATGACAAAACGATGACCGCCCGGTGCGTGTACATGAATCGTCCAAGTACCGGGCGATAATCGTTTGACTACTTGTGTCTATTCAGGCACCGGGCGGAGCCCGGCCGATGTCCGCCCGGACGCCTTTTAAATCGGACGGTGTTTTAGTAGAACAAAAAATCGCCCGATCAAAAAAACATCGCCCGGTCGCCGCCCGGCGACCGAGCAATGTCCGCTCGATGATATTTTATACTCAGTGACCCCAAAAATTATCGTCCGGCCGCCGTTAGCTTTTAAGTATTACTTAAAACTCGAAGGCGCCCGCCCGATGAGCAAAATTTTCAGCTGCTGCCGTCCGATAGTCACTGCCGCCGGACGGACGCCGGCCGATATTGCGATTTTTTGGAGAAACAGCCGCCGCCCGGCGGCATTTTCTTATTTGTGACCTAGGCTTAAGAGAAGTGATTTGATTAGATGGCGTTTCAATCAAGCGAATACCGCAACGCGTCGTAGGGGAACGGGAACACTAACTAGATGACTAAAAAACTAGTTCTTCGCTTATTAATGTTTACTTTAAATAATTCTGTAGTTGTCTGAATTCTGTCCATTAGTATGTATCACGTCTATCTA